TCGGTGGTACTCGAAGTTTTTTTTCCTGAACAGCCCGAAGTCACAACGGGTATATATTTACTAAGCTATATTGTGCATAGTTTCTTATAAATTAATAGATAAAAAAAATCATTTTATTCCTTTATTCAATTTATTTTAATGGCACTCACCTGTGGTGAACAACGATTGATGGATGGTAGAAGCAAGGAATGGCCTCTTTCGAGGGGTGCAGCATTGATCGCAACAACATGACGATCCAAGGGGTCGCTGCTCGGGAACCCGTCTTTACGTCGCAAATATAATATTATCTAAATTAGTAAAAAAAATTCAGCGCCGAACAAAAGCAGCTCATCAATCCAGAGCGATCTCGACCACAGGCACATAAAAAGCTTAGTAGTATGCAAAAAGACGATTTTCAGTCGATTCTCAGTTCTTTTCAGATACAAAAAAGTACTTCTTTATATAAAAGTGGATTTTGGGTCTTTGAAATATGTATAAATATTCAGCTAACCTCATTTTGCTTCAGTTTTGCAAAATTCCATCTGAGATGGTTGAATGGTTCGCGAACAGCACGAAAATGCATCGGCTTACGCCTCATTTCACCACGCTCAACGTTCAACTGAAACGAACGAATGGTCCTCTGATTTTCCGCCATGAACACTGCGACGATAAAACGTTACTTCGAATGAATCGTTAAAAAAAGTAACAAAAAAGATAAAAGGGCGAAAATCATGTTCGTCTTATGGGGAAAAAAAATTGAAACCTGAACGGAGAGGTTAAAATCACCATCCAGTAATTTGTACATGCAGTTGAGGTCGTAGTTGAACAAGCGCTCATCCTTGGCATTCTCCCAACGCGACAGCAGCATATCTTCGAACTGCAAAAATGCGCATTTCGGAAGTGACATTTCCAGGCCAGCGGCATTTTCCTCTTTTTTTTTACATTACCTTCTCTTTAACTACTACTAACTTTGAAACTTTTTCGGGAAAATCTTAATATGCTACTAAACACCCTATGATTGTTATAACTTTAAAAAATCTACGTAAAAATCTAAGTACTTTAAAATCTACGAAAATCTACGTACCCAAAAATTACCCGCATTTTTGCCATGGCTTAGGTTAATTTTGAGCTAGACACAGTCCGAGTAACAGCACGTACTAACAGCATCCTCGGATGACCGTTAAAAGTATAGGGGGCGAATCAAGCGGGATACGGCCGGGGGTTCTAGAAAGTGGTAACCCATATCGATGTTACAGAGAGGCGCCGGTATTTGTACTGACAATGGACGTTTGTGTATTCTCAGGCTGATCAACACGAAGTTCCTTGGAACTATAGTCACTTAAGAAGGAGAAACAAGCAAGCAAACCCTGGTGCGGTTTTCATCTGATTGCGACGATGGCACATTCCTCAAATCGTAGATGAAATCGGACGGCGAATAATAGAAAAGCGGCGCTGACGAGGTGCACTCCTGGCCAACGGGAAGCTAAAAAAAAAACAAATTTTTTCTTCAAAATTCAATCCCGGAAATGCCAAAAATGCTTGCCAAAGCTCTCAAAAAAAATCACGCACCGTATCCTACTGCAACCCTCCCCCGCTCCCCAAAAAATCCCATCCGTCCCGATCTGGTTTGTGTTGCAAATGCCTAGGTCAGGACAGATATGAGAATGGTCACTAAGCACTGGGCAGGGAACAGCCACCTGCAATGGAGAGCAGGAGAAACCCCCTCACACAGCTCTTCTGACCGAAGAATGATAAATTCTTGCCCCGTAAAACTAACCCCCTCCCCCCTTTTTTTTCAGACTGTGTTACAGAAATTTTAGAGATATAAACAACGGGGGAATATCCCTGGCCAGGAGACTGGACGAGGACGCGAGGCCTGAAACTGTTTATGCAATTTGTTTGGCAGAAGACATTGCCAGTTCACGTGCAACTTAAAGATTTCAAATTCAGCCCCCGTTAAGCGTGGTACACACGAAAGGCCCCGCGGAAATTTTCGAGGGGAAAATCGCTAGCTCGGGAACCAGAAAAGCAGGAAGTCTAAAATTTTGATTGCTGGGCTACCAGCGTGGAGAGGAACACAATCGAATTTTGACAGTTAACTCCCGCGCACAAACTTGCAAGACTTGGTTGGTGCAAGAAGATGGATGGGAAGTGTTTTGGAAATTTTTGAAAAATGTAAACTATGAAAGTTAGTATGGCACTGTAGGCCAGCCGATGAGAGGGACGCAGTCGAATATTGTCAGTTGTGGGAAGCAGTGACTGCAAATTCAGATACCCAGATAAGCGAGCCTGTATGTGCATTAGCTCTTGTCCTGTCTGAAAGTCGCGCTCGCGCTGTGCAGTTCGAAAACGAACTGGCCACTAAGTGGACAGTGTGAGCAGGAAAAGTGAGCTCACCTGAATTGCCGACTGCGATCGCTGGGTGCGCGGCGAGCTGCCCAGCATAACAATCTTCCGGCTCATCATCACCAGCAATGCTTCCGGACCAGCGGCACATCCACTGCCCTCAAACAAGACTGCAACAAATTCCGGCGATAACGCACAGTTCCCGCTTTCCCAACCAACAACGCCCCCCCCCCCTCCCCACATACCCGGAAGACGGACGCACTGCAACCAGCCCCGCCCTCGCCCCACCATGGACA